TGGACACTGAAAATCCAGTGAGTGAGTGATGGCTGACCTGGAAGGCTTAGAGCAGAGGCTGAGTCTGCAGAGCTGAGTCATCACGGAACCAGAGGACTCGGGGTGGGGCCCTCGTGTCCCTGCAGGCCTCTGTGAGGCAGGTGGAACCAGAGCTTTGCCGATGTTCTGGAAGGAGCAGTTGGGTCTCCTGCATCTGTCCCTAGTGACCTGCATCCGTCCCTAGTCATCTGCATCCGTCCCTAGTCACCTGGATCCGTCCCTAGTCACCTGGATCCGTCCCTAGTCACCTGCATCCGTCCCTAGTCACCTGGATCTGTCCCTAGTCACCCTGGATCCGTCCCTAATCACCTGCATCCGTCCCTAGTCACCTGGATCTGTCCCTAGTCCCCTGCATCCGTCCCTAGTCCCCTGCATCCGTCCCTAGTCACCTGGATCCATCCCTAGTCACCTGGATCTGTCCCTGGTCCCCTGCATCCGTCCCTAGTCCCCTGCATCCGTCCCTAGTCACCTGGATCTGTCCCTAGTCCCCTGCATCCGTCCCTAGTCACCTGGATCTGTCCCTAGTAACCTGCATCCGTCCCTAGTCACCCTGGATCCATCTCTAGTCACCTGCATCCGTCCCTAGTCACCTGGATCCATCCCTAGTCACCTGGATCTGTCCCTGGTCCCCTGCATCCGTCCCTAGTCCCCTGCATCCGTCCCTAGTCACCTGGATCTGTCCCTAGTAACCTGCATCCGTCCCTAGTCACCCTGGATCCATCTCTAGTCACCTGCATCCGTCCCTAGTCACCTGGATCTGTCCCTAGTCACCTGGATCTGTCCCTAGTCACCTGCATCCGTCCCTAGTCACCTGGATCTGTCCCTGGTCACCCTGGATCCATCTCTAGTCACCTGCATCTGTCCCTAGTCACCTGCATCCATCCCTAGTCACCTGGATCTGTCCCTGGTCACCTGGATCCGTCCCTAGTCACCCTGGATTCGTCCCTAGTCACCTGCATCCGTCCCTAGTCACCTGGATCCATCCCTAGTCACCCTGGGTCCATAGCTTCCCCCCTCCGCCCAGGACGGGGCCTCTGAGGAGCCAGAGCTCAGTGAAGGGAAGCCTTCCTCGGAGCCTGCTGAGGTCAGACAAGGCTCAGACTGCAGCTGCCTCAGGCGTCCCTGGCCTTAGCCTCCTGCAGGGAGCATGCTCTGGGGAGTGAGGCAGGTCAGAGCTTGCGGCACTGGTGCCCAGGAGCAGAGTGGCCACGCCTGAGTCGGAGGTGCTGGTTCCTGGACAGCGGACGGCCCTTTCCTCTGTCCTTGGGTGGCCAAGTCCACTTTTTTGCATCCCCGTTCAGTGTAGAAGGGATTCTGGGAGTAGAATGTAAATCAGATTGTGCTTTTTCCAACGTGAAATGAATTTTCTTTTAAGATCAGAGAGAGAGAGGGAGAGGGAGAGGGAGAGGTCTTCCATCCAATGGTTCACTCCCCAATTGGGTGTAAATGTGTAAATGGCCGGAGCTGGGCTGATCTGAAGCCAGGAGCCAGGAGCTTCTTCTGGGTCTCCCACACGGGTACAGGGGCCCAAGGACTTGGGCCATCTTCCACTGCATTCCCAGGCCACAGCAGAGAGCTGGATCAGAAGTGGAGCAGCCGGGTCTCGAACCCGTGCCCATATGGGATACTGGCACTTCAGGCCAGGATGTTAACCTGCTGCGCCACAGCGCCGGCCCCTTTTGTTGGGTTTTTGTTTTCTTCTTTTTGGCTGTGGAGAACAGTGCTGTGGGGAGTGCATGTCGGAGGTGCGGCAGGGTCAGCTTCTGGCCCGAGCACTCCGAGCTGGCGTTCCCTGCATTCGGAGGGGCTGGACTTCCAGAAGCTGGTGTCCCGCAGGAGGGAGTGGCCGGTCCACGCTTCATCCCAGCAGAGGACCAGGAGGTGCCCCAGGAGGGTCAGAGGCAGCCCCGCCCCAGTTCCCAGCACCCCACACACCTTCCCTGTTCGGTCTGAGGCTGTCATTTGGGAGAAAGGACGTTGACCTGTTCCGTTGACGGACGCCACTTCTCCTTGAGCTTGTTTGCAGGGTCCTTGCTAACATTTGGAGCCTTTGCAGCCAGATGCTCGGTGTTTGAGCTGCCGTTCACAGTCGCAGAGCGAGTTGTCCTCAGGCTGGCATTGTCAGGTTAAAGCCCAGGGCAGGTTTGTGCCCCTGTCGAGAATGCCTTCCTCACAGGTGCTTTGTTGTAGGTTCAAAGACACCATCATCAACGCCAAGTACGGGGGGCACACGGAGGCCGTGCGCCGGCTGCTGGGCCAGCTCCCCATCAGTGCCCAGTCCTACAGCGGCAGCCCCTACCTGGACCTGTCTCTGTTCAGCTATGACGACAAGTGGGTGTCAGTCATGGAGCGCCCCAAGACCTGTGGAGATCACCCCATCAGGTACAGGCGTCCTCTGGACGTTTCTCTGTGACTGGCTGCTTCTGTAACACCTGTGCCTCTGTCTCGTGAGTCCTGGTCTCACAGATCTCTCCTGCTTTTTGCTCCTCAGCTGAACGTTACGTTGAGTCAGTGCTTTGCACTGTCCTATCCCACACGGTGCTCAAACACATTACAGACGTTTCTGATTTGTCCCGTCTCTTACAGTCTGGGGAGCCGGGGACTGGGGGAGCCCCACGCCCCATGTGAGGAGTGCTGGACGCACACTGCTGTGTTGTAAGATTTATTTGAAAGGAAGAGTTAGAGGGAGAAAAGGAAATAGGTCTTCCATCCCTTGGTTCACTCCCCAAATGGCTGCAATGGCCGAAACTGGTCAAGCTGAAGGCAGGAGCCCAGAACTCCATCCGAGTCTCCCACGTGGGTGGCAGGAGCCTGAGCACCCTCCCAGGTGCATTATCAGGGAGCAGGATTGGAAGTGGAGCAGCCAGGACTTGAACCTGCGCTTATGTGGGATGCTGGCATTGTAGACAGGAAGTGGAAGAGGTCGGAGCAGTAGTGTCAGCCATGTGTGGTCAGTAGCCTGTGGCCGCCTTATTCTGTGCCCGTGGCTGCTCCTGGCCCAGCCTCTGGTACTGAGCGTGTGCCACCTTCCCGCCCCATTAGGTTGGAGTGAATGTAGCCCTGGCCCTCCTCAACTCCTGAGCCTACTTACTTCATGACTTCCTTGAATTATTCCTGGGAGTGGGATTGTTGAGTCAGCAGGCATGAAAATCTTTTCTTTCTGGAGGGGGAATCGTGAGGTCTCAGTTCAGGGGGTCTTCATTCTGTGGAGCCCCTCCCCCGATTCAGTCCCACCCTGCTACACCTCTCTCGTCCCTGACAGCACGTCGCTGTGTTGCATCTGCACACAGGCGCTTGTATCGGGAGGGCTGCCAAAACCTGCCGTCTCCCTGTGTCACATCGAAAGTTAAAAGCTGTGTGAGAAAGGAGAAATTCCCCAAAGACTTGGTCCTTAGCAATGAAAGACTCATAGGAGTGCATTTGACACAGCGGACGACACTGCCGTCCCACACCGGATGGCTGGTCTGCACCCTGGCTCTGCTGCCGATTCAGCTACCTGCGAGTACGCACCTTGCGAGGCAGCAGATGAAGGCCCAGGTAGCTGGGTCCCTGCCACCCACGTGGGCGCTCTGCAGTTCCCAGCCCCTGTCTTCAGGCATAGCTCTGGCCAGTGTGGGCATTTGTGGGGGACACAGAGGATTGGAGCCCTGTCTCCTTCTGGCTCTCCTGATAAAAAGGAGCGAAACTTAGCTGGGCCTGATCTGCCTGGAGCTGTGTGGAGCCCCGACCGTGGGTGGCCTCTGAGCCCTTAACTTAGTTTGAGCAGGCTGAGGGACTGCAGATTCCGTGCAGAGAAAACGGGAAGTGCCTCCCTGTGGGTTTATGCTGAGTGCGAGCTGTCGTATCTCAGGTAGGTCGGGTGAAACGCAGTCACTTCTGTTCTCCACGTGACGGCCTAACAACGCGGAGCTCACTTTCCGTTTCCCGCTGTCTGTGGCAGGAGCTCTGCGAGGGGCAGCTGATGGTGGGTGGGGCGGCGTGCAGCTCAGGTGGCCGACCCCGGCTGCTGGGGCCGGGGGGCTCCCTCGTCAGCCCGGCGCTCTCCCCTGTCCCCGTCTGTTCAGGTTCTACGCCCGCGACTCCGGCCTGCTCAAGTTTGAGATCCAGGCGGGCCTGCTCGGCCGCCCCGTCAGCCACACCGTGCGGCGCCTCGTTGCCTTCACCTTCCACCCCTTTGAGCCTTTCGCCATTTCTGTGCAGAGGACTAACGCCGAGTACGTCGTCAACTTCCACATGCGACACTGCTGTACGTAGGCACCTCCGAGGCCTCACCCCTCCCCTCAGGGGGCTCCAGAGAGGCGCCAGGCTTCGTGGACTCCCGCCTGGCGGGGCTGTGCTGTGCACAGGGCCCCCGCCGAGGGCTTCAGGCCCACTTGCCTCTTTCTTGTGGGCGTGCCCAGCGGTGACTGAGCCCATTTTGTTCTCTGGGCGGCTTTTACTGCTCTGAAGAAGGGCGTTGCATCTTCCAACGCGCACGGCCGCCGCTACAAGAAAAATAAAGCCTTGGTATTTTCTTACCTAAATACCTGCCGTTGGATGAGTGCCTCATCTCCGGTCACACGCCCTGGGTTCCAGGAGGGACTGAAAACAGCTGGAGGCCCTGGCCGGAACAGCAAGTGGTGAGTGCCAGCGGGGAGACGGTCGCCTGCCAGGGTTCCCCGGTACTCGTTTGCCCCGGGGGAGCTGCGGCCCTTGCACCCTGTCCTGTGGAGGCTGGCGTGTCCCCTCGGTGCACACGGGTGGAGAGTGAGCTGCTCACAGGAGCCTGCGTAGGCCGTTGTGTGAGTGGTGGCAGCTCCCAGCTCCAGTGGCCCTGAAGAGAGCAGACTGGTGGCTCCTGGGAGGCTGGGCAGCCGCCCGTCACGTTCCCTTTCCCGTCGTGGTGGGGAGGGCAGTTGCTGGAGCGAGTCTCGTGGGTTCTTTTCCTCAACTCAGTATAGAAATAAAGAGCCGGGGAACAATTTGCAGACTTACTTGACAGGAAAGAAACTTTTATTTGATTGGCAGGCGACAGAGAACGCGTCTGGCCTGAGAGGAGCCCAGGCAGAGAGCCCGAGGGGGACGCGGGCTCTGAGGAGGTGTCCCGGTGTCTAAGGCATCACTGTGCTCACTGGGTGGGGGTGCCCATTGGACGGGGTTTCTCACACGCATGTTGATTGGCTTGGGGCTCATGGAGGTAGCGGGTGGACGTGGGGATTTCCTGGAGATGTCTGTGTCCTTAGGGCCCAGCCCCCTCCCCTGCCAGCTCTGGGTCAAAGATGGCAGCCACCTGGAGGTGTGGCTTAAAACCCCAAGGTCACACAAGATAACCAGGGTCTCCTGGAGCCAGTCCCACTCTCCCCAGGGAGAGCCCCCTCCTCTGCCAGCTCTGGGTGGAAGATTGCACCCACCCAGGTGTAATTTAAGGCCGTGAGGTCACACACGCAGCACAGAAGCTATCAGTGGGAGAGATGCCGGTCGGTGTGGAGACAGCTTTCCAGCCGGCGGCCTGCTTGTGGAGGATGTCCTACCTGCGTCTGAGGGGCCACAGACCCCAGCCCCACTGCACGGCATCATTCTTACCCAGATACCAGAGATCTGGGGCTCTGTGTCTGACCTCATGGTGCACCTGCCAGTGAGGTTAGCGTCATTCCTGTGAAACAGGCCGTTCAGGGTGGGCCGTGTGCCACATTCTTTCCACCACCAAGACCACTTCCTTTGGGAACTTGAACAGGGTGACCCGAGGGGCCAGGTCCCATTGTCCCCAGCATTGAATCGCCAAGTTCATGTTTGGCACAGAATTTGAGCACCTGCTCAAATTCAAACTCGCTGTGCTAGTATGCGGAGGCTGAGACCAGAGATGGAGTTCAGCTGCCCCGCCCCATCCGGGTTTGTTCTGTCCGTCAGTTCTGTGTCGCTGTCTCCACAAAGGTCCGGGGAATCTCAGGAAGCCTGGGAGAAGTGAGCTCTGGAGAGCCCTGGAGCCGGTCAGGCAGAGCTGCCTTGTGGACCACACTTGTTGATCAGCCCTGCTTGGTCAGCGCCTGTTACCAGAGGACGGGGGAGGAAGGGGGCGCGAATAGGTTTGGACCCTGTGCCTTGGGGCCCCAGTAGGTTGGGGAACAGCACAGCACATCCCGGGGTGTGCGGAGCTGAGTGTCCTGCGGCAGAACTCTGCCGGACGGGGGTGCTGGCGCAGGCAGGCGTGTGGGAAAGGTGGAGAATCAGCCTCAGATCCAAGCTGGGAGGGGGTGGGGGTGGGGGCACTGCACCCCTGGCTGGCGTGGGTGCTGCGTGCCCAGCTCCACCCAACTGCAGTTTGCCTGGCAGAGCGCCTGCTGCCAGTGGCGACAGCACCTGGGCCCTTCCAGGCGCTCCGAGTCCTGGGCGCAGCAGGGGTGACATCGGGAAGGCCATGGCTCCCACATCTCCATGGCCAGGCTCACCCAGAAAACATCTGCATTTCAAGAGTGGGGAGTGAAACGTTTCCAGGTTATCCACGAGCCTCTCCCTTGCCCCCTTCCAGCCAGGAGGGGCGGGCCCAGGGCCTGTCCCAGGAGCGCACATCCCGTCCGGACCTCCACCACACCCTCCTGTCTTGTAATCTGTGCTTCCTCCCTCCTGCCAAGTTCCACACGGCCTGGAACTGCTCTGACACACGTGTGCGCTCTCAGGGCAGGGGCTCACTGGGCCTGACGCCACTCTGACACACGTGTGAGCTCACTGGGCCTGATGCTGCTGCTGACACACGTGTGAGCTCTCAGGGCCTGACACCGCTCTGACACGTGTGAGCTCTCAGGGCCTGACGCCGCTCTGACACGTGTGAGCTCTCAGGGCAGGGGCTGGCCCTGGTGCAGGATGCATGCACTGCACATGCAGCTCATTCACTCCATCCACAGCTACTGGGCCCAGCCTCTGGTGCTGCATTCCGGCTCTGGTTCTGATCCAGTTTCCTGCTCTTGAATGCATCCTGCCTGGCTGGCAGCAGTGACAGACCGAGGCCTGGGTCCCTGTTGCCCACCTGGGAGAGCCGGTGGAGTCCCCAGCTCCTGTTTTGACCTGGTCCAGCCCTGGCTGTTGTGGGCATTTGAGGAATGGACCAGTGCACGGAAGACCTCTCTCCCTCTGCCTTTCAAATAAAATAACAATGTAAACCTGCCAACTGTGAATCAACAGAACCCAGACAGTGGCCAGAGTTCTCACTCTGGGGCCGAAGTGCCACAGTGAGCTCTGGCAATCTTGGTGAGGGAGCTACCGAGGATGGAGGCGTCTGGGAACAGCAGCTCCTCACTGACTGTGACGCAGCAAGGGCACTGCCCGCGGCCGTGCCAGCACAGAGCTCCGTGGCCACGACATAAGGCAAACTCTTTATTCCTGGAGCAGAGGCTGCAGCCTGGGCCACACTGCCTGCTTCCGTCTAGACTGCAGCTCGGGCCACACTGTGCGGCTTACCCACCTCAGGCATCTGCCTGACTTCCCCGAGAGTCCGAGAGTCTCTGCCCCCTCAAAGACAGCCGAAAGGGAGCTTCCCACGAGGTCCAGCTGGGGGCCAGGGCAGGGCAGTCCCTTCCCTCACAGCCTCCTGGCCTTCCTGGGACGGCAGCCGTTGTGTGGGATGGGGGTGTTGTCTGTGATGGAGATCACTTCCAGGCCCCCCATGGTCAGCCCCTTGATGGCAGACTGGAAAGAGCAGACACGGCGGTCTCAGCCAGGGACCCGCGTCTCCAGGCAGGGCTGGGGGTGGGGAAGGTAGAGCCAGTGGCCCCTCGACTGACCCTGACTGCGACCCGATGCTGTCCACTCTCAGGTCTCCCGCCACGGCTCTCACCCGCCCCTCGAGGCTTCTGCAGGTTGACTCGGGCAGTCTCCTCCCCGGAAGACCCCCACCCTGCCCTGCCCCCAGCCAGTGCTCCTTACGCCCAGGAAGTGAGAGGTGCCACCTGCTGCAGGGGCAGAGGTCACTGCTGTGGGTTCCCGGCGGCTGGGCACGGGCCATGAGGCCACACTCGCCTGCAGAGGGATGGCCTTCCCCTTCCCAGGGCCCAGCGGTCACTTACCAGGCGTCCTGGCCCCAGGCCCTTCACCACCACTCGGACGTGGGTCACACCCTTCCCTGAGGCTTTCTGGAAAGACGTGTGCAGGAGTCAGTACAGCAGAGCGGAACAGGCCTTGGGGCACCAGGGCAGCCAGCAGGGGACAGGCGGGGCCCAGCACAGCACTGCCACCTACTGGACACTGCTGAACACTGCTTCGGCTTTTCAAGGACACCCTGGAGGGGCTTCACATGGAAGCCACCTGTGGCCCTGAAATCGTGTGGGCATCTCACTGGTGGTGCTCTGCTTCCAGTGGGACCGTGTGCGAGGCCTGTGCCATGGGCGACAGGCGCAGGCTTCGGTCCACAGCCAGCTGGGTTCAGCTGGGGCGGGGGAGTGGCTGCAAGACTCTGAGCCCCACACTCTGAGCCTCCGCAGGCGCCGCCGAAGACTGCGGACCACGAACGCAGCCTGCTTCTGGAAAGATCCTCACTCACCCACGTCCCCCCGCACCACGGACCCCACCCCATCCCCATGCCTGTTTAAGGGGAGGGGTCTCAGCGCCCAGGCCTCACACCCTGGCTTCTCCTTCCTAGGTGAACCGGCAAGTGCAGGGGGGGGGGGGGCCCTTCGCACAGGCCCATTCAGGCCACCAGCCCGCGAGCCACGGGGGACGGAGACACTTACCGCGGCTGCGGCTATGCCTGCGGTCTGAGCGGCAATGCCAGTGCCCTTCTTGGCGTTCCGAAACCCCTCTGTGCCACAGGAAGTGCGGGCGAGGGGCTGGTTGGCGGCAGACACCACCTGGATCTGTGTGCTGGGAAAGTGGGGAGGTGTGTGATGTGACTGAGAAATGGGAGGGGGCTCAGCGCTGCCCCCGCCGGGAGCACAACGAACTCCAGCTGCTTCCACTCGGAGCCCACGGAGGAACGGAACCCCGGTGGGGTAAGGGGCCCGAACCACCGCGGCCCGATGGGAACCCAGGCCTCCTGCCACCCATAAGGAGCCACGCCGGCCCTCCGGCGGGGGTGGGGGCATCGGCCCCTAAATCAGGCACCGCGACCCTGTCTGCCCCTTGTCCAAAGCTTAGTTTTGCACATCGGGTAGTTTCCAGAGAGACTTTCGTGAGGGAAAGTTTTGGACGCACAGCAAAGCTGAAGGAAACCCTGGGTCCCGCCTGGTGCAGCTCCCCGCCCAGCCCCGGCCAGGCCTCTCCGTCTGGACGGGCACCCGAGCCCCCGCCCAGGCCTTGCTGCCTGTGGGGTGGGCAGCCTGGCCATGCTTACTTGTTGTAGGACGCCTTGATGTGAGCGATCGGGATCTCCTCAAACCTCTTTCCTGCCCACCTCAGCGAGCTCTCCTGCCCTGGAGCGGGAGGGTAAACGCTGCAATACAACAGCGAAGAAGTTACTCTGGTTTCCCCTTAAATCGCGGAAGTACAGCACCGGGATCCAGCGGCCAGTCGGCGACAACCGCGCAAACGTGAGCAGCCCGTCGGCTCCTCCCTCCTCGGGCCTCCTCGGACTCCTGGCCGCCCGCCCCGCAGGAGCCCTCGGCCCTGCCTGCAGCCCCCGAGCTGGCCGACCGCCCTCGAGGGAAAGCGCTCGTCGGAACTTCCGGTGCCGTCTCTGGGCTGCCCGACCTCCCCTGAGCTTCCTGCCACTTCTGTCCCCTCCGGGGGTCCGCTTCTTGAACCCACGCGGGTCACATGTCGGCCACCAGGGGCAGGGCCGGCACGGCTGACAGGCCCACGCTGGCCCACGGTGGTCTTCCCTGGGGCTGGCCACTCGTGACCCGGCACTCGACGTCAGGGCCGGTTCAAGCCCCCTGCTCACGGCCTGGGAAGGCAGCGGAGGCCCAGTGCTGGGCCCCTGCACCTGCGGGAGACCCGGATGGAGTCCTGGCTCCTGGCTCTGCGGCTGTCTGGGAGTGCAGTCTCTGTGGCTCTGCCTCTCAGACAAATAATTTTTTTTAAAAGGCTTTCCTGGTTTTCTTACTGCCCACTCTGCTTCCTCCTCCTCAGTCCACAGTGCTCTGCCCTCCGCCCTCCGCCCCTGTCCGCTGCCGCAGCTCCTGCCTGGCGTCCGCCACCCGCCCGCCTGTCCCGGGACTGAGCGCCCCCCCCCCCCCATCTTCACAGGCGCAGCTCCATCCTCCTGGTCGCTGAGGCCGACATGTGGGGTCTTCCTTCACCCCGATATTAGCAAGTCCTGTTGGCCTGACTTTCCTTCCACACCCAACGCTGGGCCCACACCCCCTGCACCCCTGCTCGGGCCCCCGCGCCCTCACCGCAGCCTTGCACACTAAGCACTACCCCGCGCCCTCACCGCACCCCCTGCCCTTTCACCGCTCGGAAGCCGCTCGAACGCCGGCTCCCACTCTCCTCGGCTCAGCGTCCACCCTGAAGACGGCCGCAAACCCGGCCAGCCCTGCCCGGCGCTGTCCACCGCACTCAAGTCCGCTCCGCCGGCGCCGCGGACCGCGACAGAAGACACCCGTAGCCCCGGGAGGCTGCGGGCGGGACCCGGCCTCCGTCCCCACCCCCGCGTGCCCTGCTGCGGACCCGGCTCCTCACCTGAAGCCGCCGCGCCCCGCGGATGCCTGCTGCGCCTGCTCCGCCGCCTCCGGCTGAGGCGCGCCTTGCAGCGCCCGGGCCCCGGCCACGCGCCTGCGGGGAGGGAAGCAAAGCTCGGGAGTCGGGCCCGACGGCTCCTGCGACGGAGGCCGAAGCGCGAGGGGTCGCCTGCCTTACCCGGTTGTCCGGGGCAGAGCCCAGGATCGCAGCAACCAGGACCCGGCACCCCGCACGACCTGCATGGCTCGAATTGGTCCCGCTCGGCTCCCGTCGGCGGCGCCGGCACGGTTGGGACACGGCCAGCACCATCGGACGCCTGTGGGAGGTACAGGAGGCCAAGTCCTGTTTTCTCTTCGTAAGAGCCATTGAATATTCTCGTTCAAATTCAGGTGCTCTACAAAAACCAGAGTTTATGGCCAGCCTGGGAATTCCTCCATTTTTACTGTTAGAATAGATCTTCGTCTACCCCTCCACATTGGAATGGATCATTCCAGTACGTCTGGGTGCTGAGCGGACCAGGCATGCCCTCCCGCGCTGCCTTGTGGGATCACGGGATTGGCTGAGGCCCCCGGGTGCCGCGGAGCCTTGTGGGAGGGCGGAAAGATGGCGGCGCCCGTGAGGCATGTTGTGTTAGGGGCGACGGGCGTCTGGAGGCGGCTGGAGAGGCCGTGGGCGTCTAGCCTGTGTTCTCGCAGCCTGACGCTTGCAGCTCTACCCTCAAGGACTAAGTCACCATGGCGCCTATGGGGAGCCTTATGCCTGCAGCGGCCTCCGCTGATCTCCAAGCCGCTGACCCCGCTGCAGGAAGAGATGGCGGCCCTGCTGCAGCAGGTACTCTTCGGAGGCGTGAGGGGAGCAACGGCGGCGCGGGCCTCGGCCCGCCGCCAGCCCACTTGGCCTGAGTGACCTCAGCCCGGGCGGCTGGGAGGCGGGAGGCGCGCCGCAGGAATCCGCAGCGATCCGCAGCGAACTAGTCCGTCCCCGGCACGAGAGGCTCAGCCTGAGCGATGCATGGAGAGGGGGACGTGCGGGGGGCAGCGGCCACGTTCCTAGGACGTCTGGTGGTCCTTGGGTGCGGGGCGCGCGGCGGCGCGCCGGGAGGGCGTTCAGTCCTGCAGGGGTGCACCCCGGGCCCTTGGTCTTGGGCTACCGAGAGCGGTCAGCCTCCCTCGTGCGGGCTCTCTAACCTGACAGGCGCTGATGGGTCTGGCGCAGTGAGGCCGCGGTGCAGCTGTTGTAGGGTAAAATCGGTCGGGTTTGTGAACTGGAGACCTCGCCTTCATCGCGCCCGCCGTGTGAGCTCAGTCCCTACCTGTCCGCACCTGGGCCGCCCCCTGCCCATGTAACCACGCCCTTCTGGAAAGCGGGGCCCCAGCATCGCCTCCGCCTCCGCGCCCGCGATAAGCTGTTAATAGCTGCGGTGGCTTCTGGCCTGCTTTCTGCTGGTGTGGACTCCAACCTAATTTCCAGACTTCCCTTCCCCCTCAGACCCGACTGACGCCCTCGCTCTCCCATGCATTTCTCTCACTGAATAGAAAGCTTGGAAGCTTACGGTTCTGCCTGGTCTGCTTGTGCCGGCATTCAGAATTCTCTGATGTGAGGCACGAGCCTTACTGATTGTGAATTCTCAGTGAGCGAGCGGCAACGCAGCCTCTCAGTCCCGGTGCTCTGCCGCTCTGGACTCCCAGCCGCGCGCACTTTCTGGCAGGTGCAGCTGAGGCTCAACGCGCAGGCCGTGTTTTTTATTCGTCTCTTCTCTCCCTCTGTAGTGTTCTTGCCGTACCTCTAGTGCCGTTGCGCGATGAACTCCGAGCCTGCACAGGTCGAGTGTGTGGTAGCTCTGCTTTTTTTTTTTAACCTTCATCGCTAGAGAGGGAGTATCCAGGCACTGCAGCAGGAGCATCCTGCTGGCTTGCGCCCCGAATGCCTGCAGCGGCCACAGCCGGGCTAGGCCGAAGCCGGGAGCCTGGAACTCGGTCCAGGTGGCAGGGACCCAATATTCGAGCCATCACCTGCCTCCTGCGTTAGCAGGGAGCTGGAGTCAGAAGTCAGGCACCGCGGTGTCGTAACAGTGTCTCCATCGCCAGGCCAAATGCCTGCGCCACAGCTCTGTGTCACTGTCCTTTCAATGCCCAGGTGGAGACAGAGAAAAGCCTGTATTCGGACCATGAGCTCCGTGCCTTGGGTGAGGCCCAGCAGCTGGCCAAGAAGAGGGCCGACCTCCATGAGGAGGAGGACGAGCCGGGGATCCTGCTGGTGCCGGACCTGGAAGAGATGTGGGAGCAGGCATTCCTGCGCTTCAGGCCTGGGGCCCGCACCACAGGTTTGTGATCCACCTAGGCCAGCAGGGAGGGGGTCGGCGGGTTCTGGTGTCCACGTAAACGGTGTTTGCTCAGCCCCTGCTGTGGGTTTTAGAAGCTACCATTTCAGGTAACATGGGAGCGAGTAAATTCTTTTTATTCCGCACATTACCCTAACACAGCACTCCTTATTTATTATTAGGGTATATTTGTGTGTGTTCATCTCCTTGAAAGGTTGAGTGGCAGACAGACAGGGCTTCCCTCCGCTGGGTTCCCTCCCTGAATGCCTGAAACAGCCAGGGCTGGCCACACCCAGGAATGTTGACATGGTGTTTTCCCTCTCAGTTAAACCTTGCAAATGTTATGTGAGTTGACTCCTGCTTTGGGACTGAAAGTGGAGAAACTAAGCCTTTTCCCACTGGTTCCTGTGTTTGATCTGAAGTCTCTTAAAGCGGGCATTGGGGCTAAGCCTCTGCCTGGGGCACCGGCATCCCTTGTGGATGCTGGTTCGAGTCCCCACTGCTCCACTTCTGATCCAGCTCTCTGCTATGGCCTGGGAAAGTAGTGGAAGATGGCCCAGGTGTTTGGGCTCCTGCACCCAGAGGAAGCTCCTGACTTTGTCCTGGCCATTGTGGCCACATGGGGAGTGAACCAAACCAGTGGATAGGAGATTGTGTCTCTGTCTCTCCCTCTGTCTGTCTGTAGCTCTGCCTCTCAGATAAGTAAATAAATCTGAAAGAAAAACAAGACCATAAAATTCAGTGCCCCTGGTTCTGGGAGGTCCCGGTCTTGTCTCCTCTGACCCTGTTCTCTTTGTAGAGGCTGATGAGAAGAATGACCGAACTTCACTGCACCGGAAGCTGGACAGGAGCCTTGTGCTGCTGGTCAGAGAGAAGCTGGGAGGCCAGGATGTGTGGATGCTGCCCCAGGCAGAGTGGCAGCCCGGGGAGACCCTCCGAGGAACCGCCGAGCGGACCCTGGCCACGCTCTCAGGTGAGTCCTCTGCTCTCCTCTAAATCCACAGGTTTGCTCACCCAGACCCGGGGGAGGGTGGGTTCCGGGCTGTGGACAGGAGGGGTACAGACGTCTCAGCCAGAAAACCCCGGGCAGGTGTGCAAGGGCCACGGCCTCACCGGGTCTGTAGGCCTCACCGGGTCTGTAGGCCTCACCAGGGTCTGTAGGCCTCACCGGGTCTGTAGGCCTCACCGGGGTCTGTAGGCCTCACCGGGGTCTGTAGGCCTCACCGGGTCTGTAGGCCTCACCGGGGTCTGTAGGCCTCACCGGGTCTGTAGGCCTCACCGGGGTCTGTAGGCCTCACCGGGTCTGTAGGCCTCACCGGGGTCTGTAGGCCTCACCAGGGTCTGTAGGCCTCACCGGGTCTGTAGGCCTCACCAGGGTCTGTAGGCCTCACCGGGTCAGTAGGCCTCACCGGGTCTGTAGGCCTTACCAGGGTCTGTAGGTCTCACCGGTGTCTGTAGGCCTCACCGGGTCTGTAGGCCTTACCGGGGTCTGTAGGCCTCACTGGGGTTTGTAGGCCTCACTGGGGTCTGTAGGTCTCACCGGGGTCTGTAGGCCTCACCGGGTCTGTAGGCCTCACCAGGGTCTGTAGGCCTTACCGGGGTCTGTAGGCCTCACTGGGGTCTGTAGGTCTCACCGGGGTCTGTAGGCCTCACCGGGTCTGTAGGCCTTACCGGGGTCTGTAGGCCTTACCGGGGTCTGTAGGCCTTACCGGGGTCTGTAGGCCTCACCAGGGTCTGTAGGCCTCACCGGGGTCTGTAGGCCTCACCGGGGTTTGTAGGCCTCACTGGGGTCTGTAGGTCCGGCCCGTGACAGTGACTGCCGTTCTCTCAGCCGCTCCTCACACCCTGAGCTTCCCTGTCGGCATGGCCACTTGCCTGCCTTCTCCGCCGAGACCTCAGGGTTACCCTGGCCTCGTTTCCGCACCGCTGGCTCCTGGAGTGAGGCTGGTCAGCTCCTGGGCCTCAGCGTTCCCTCAGCCGCCACTTCCCGGGGTGCAGGTGTCTCACCTGTGGCGCTCGTGCTGTGTGGGACTGGCTCGTTCTCGGTGGGGGCTGCCCTGGCGTCGTAGGTGTTGAGCACCGTCTCTGCCTCTGCCCCTTCCTCCTCGCCACCTCTGCGCCTCAGAGCGACAGCAGAAACCTCTCCAGACCTTGTCAGGTGCTGCCCGGGGGCGGGGTTGAGAGCCACCACGGTGGATTACAGAAGCAGATGCCAAAGAATTCCTTCCTTGCTTTTGTCACGTGGCCTTCAAGGCAGCTGAAAGATACAAACCCGTGTCACTTCTCCGCAGAGCGTTCTTACAAGGTTAAGCTCAGGTGTGGCCCATGAGCCCTCTTTGTCTGGTCCTACCCTCGTCAGTCTTGGCCTTGCTGCTTGCTGATGCAAATTCTGGGCTCTCACCCAGCAAACCCTTTGTTCCCTTGAGAGCTGGCATCTTTGGTCTGTGCCTGGAGGTGCTGGCCTGGCTGAAGCTGTGTGCTCCCAGGCCCAGCTGCCCAGTATCCAGGACTCAGTTTGCACTTTGCCTCTTCCACGCTGGACCTTGCCCTGTGCCCCTGGCCCCACAGCACGCACAACCCTCCTCCCGTCACGTCTTCTCCAGGCAGTGGGGCTGGGCCAGGCCAAAGCCAAGAGCTTTGAGCCTCACCTGCTGCCTCCACGTGCACATCAGCAGGAAGCTGGATGGAAGCGGAGCCAGGACTTGAACCCAGGCACCAGCTGTGGGCTGCGGGCCACCTGTGCCTCCCTGCCGAGCCCAGCACTGGCCTGGTCCATCATCTGGCGGTGGCCCTGACTATGACAGTGTTCTGCCCGCGCTGCCGCCAGTGCAGAAGCAGCCGCGCGGTCTGTGGCAGTGAACGGGTTGGGTGGATCGCGTGAGCCAGCAGTGCCTGGATTGAGAGGAGGCGGCTCTTCCAGGAATGGCCCGGCCCCAGCTCCTCAGGGTGGGCAAGGTTCTCTGAGAGACCCCCTGACTGGGGAGAAAGAATTGGTATATCCTCATCGCTAATTCCTGCTT